ATGATCATTTACTGTGAGGTGAGGTGTGGTTGGGGTGTGGACAGTAGTTGTGCTTTTGTAACGTTGAGGTATGGACAGCTACACACTGAGGCTTTGAGCCTCAGTCCTGCCTGTTCACATTTTATTCTGTAAAAACTAAATTTTCACTGCTTTTACGTCCTTTTTAGTGGGGAGAACATAGCTGGGATTTAATGATTTAACAAATCTTTTGAATCCTTTGTCCTCCACAATGCTAAATGGCTGGGAGTCCTCAATCACCATGCTGACCAGGTCTTCATCTATTTGAGATTGTTCTCCTGAGGAAAGACAATAAAGACAAAGCACAAATATAAATATCACACACGTAACTTATAACAGTTGTATAATATTGTTATATCATTTAGTAACATTACTGCATGCTATATTATCATTACATTTGATGGCTCACCTGGTCTTGCTCCACAATCGGTGTTCCTCTTATTCTCATGCAAAGCTCTGTAGTGCCTAAGCATGGATGTTGTTGTTATATCCCAGCTCCCTGGCACATAGCAAACACTTCACCTTGTACAAAAGTCAAGACAGCTCAACATAAATTGTATTGCACCATCAGTATCATGACAATACATCTTCTGTAGAAATTTACATACCTTGTTGGGAGGAATAAAATCAAAATGTTCCCACACAGGGGAGGACATCCTCCTCTTCTTAGCTAGCTCCATTCTCTCCTGACTTTCTCTCCTCACTCTCATAAACCTCCAAACGGTCTCCAAACTCTCACTAACCGCAACTCTCCATCAAACACCCACATTTTGAATGAAGTCTGAGGGGTTTATATCGCTGTCATATCTCGCGGCAAAGTTCGAACCACTTCATGAACCAGTCACGTGGTACAGCCGGGCAGCGAGGCTTCGGACGTCATCATTTTCAGCTCCTCCCATAAATGAAGCAAGCCTCGATACGCGCTTCGCGGAAACGCCCCCTCCATTACTCGACACACGCTCCGAAGCCTCGATACAGAACGTCCCATCACTACGTTTCATTCAAAATAGTCAACAGGGTCGCAAGAAGCGCGTGGAAAAACCAAGGCGCAAAATAACTGCCCATGAACTGAGAAAAGTCAAGCGTGCAGCTGCCAAGATGCCACTTGCCACCAGTTTGGTCATATTTCAGAGCTGCAACATCACTGGAGTGCCCAAAAGCACAAGGTGTGCAATACTCAGAGACATGGCCAAGGTAAGAAAGGCTGAAAGACGACCACCACTGAACAAGACACACAAGCTGAAACGTCAAGACTGGGCAAAGAAATATCTCAAGACTAATTTTTCTAAGGTTTTATGGACTGATGAAATGAGAGTGAGTCTTGATGGGCCAGATGGATGGGCCCGTGGCTGGATTGGTAAAGGGCAGAGAGCTCCAGTCCGACTCAGACGGCAGCAAGGTGGAGGTGGAGTACTGGTTTGGGCTGGTATCATCAAAGATGAGCTTGTGGGGCCTTTTCGGGTTGAGGATGGAGTCAAGCTCAACTCCCAGTCCTACTGCCAGTTTCTGGAAGACACCTTCTTCAAGCAGTGGTACAGGAAGAAGTCTGCATCCTTCAAGAAAAACATGATTTTCATGCAGGACAATGCTCCATCACACGCGTCCAAGTACTCCACAGCGTGGCTGGCAAGAAAGGGTATAAAAGAAGAAAAACTAATGACATGGCCACCTTGTTCACCTGATCTGGACCCCATTGAGAACCTGTGGTCCATCATCAAATGTGAGATTTACAAGGAGGGAAAACAGTACACCTCTCTGAACAGTGTCTGGGAGGCTGTGGTTGCTGCTGCACGCAATGTTGATGGTGAACAGATCAAAACACTGACAGAATCCATGGATGGCAGGCTTTTGAGTGTCCTTGCAAAGAAAGGTGGCTATATTGGTCGCTGATTTGTTTTTGTTTTGTTTTTGAATGTCAGAAATGTATATTTGTGAATGTGGAGATGTTATATTGGTTTCACTGGTAAAAATAAATAATTGAAATGGGTATATATTTGTTTTTTGTTGAGTTGCCTAATAATTATGCACAGTAATAGTCACCTGCACACACAGATATCCCCCTAAAATAGCTAAAACTAAAAACAAACTAAAAACTATTTCCAAAAACATTCAGCTTTGATATTACTAAGTTTTTTGGGTTCATTGAGAACATGGTTGTTGTTCAATAATAACATTATTCCTCAAAACTACAACTTGCCTAATAATTCTGCACTCCCTTTTCATGCTGAATCTCTGCATAAAGTTATCTGTGGAATCACTATACCAGCCAAACTTAGCTGTAGACCAATCTGCAGATGAGACACTTTCCTGTGGCACTGGCTGATGTTTATTTGTTTGGTCACATCAGTTTGGCAGTGGCTAAGTGTTCAGTGACAGCGTGACAAGGAACCGACAGACTTTTAAATAGACCAGGCAGTTTTATTAAATGAAAACTTCTTTGTATCCCTGGCACAAAATAGGGAAAAAGAAATTATTAAAAAATGTGATTCATATCAGTCTTTGCTTTCACTAAAATGTTTCTTTAAACATTATAGATTACATACATTATAGATCCAGGATTGGGACATCTCTAGTCCTGTGTGTTAGCGGGTAGCTCCACAAATAGGGGGCAGGTGAGGGTGGCTGTGGTTCAGGAATTAGAGCAGGTCAACTGCAGGATCGATTCCCTGGCTCCTCCAGTCTGCATGTCAAAGCATCCTTGGGCAAGATACTGAACCCTGACTTGCCCCTTATGCATCCATCAGAGAGCAAGTTTGTGAACAATTTCACAATGGATAAGTCCATGTTTGATTTGGGATTTGTGTCTATACTTCTCATCTAAAAAAATTGAAAACGGAGCTACAATAAAAATTAGAGACTGTTCATATGAGCAAACTTACAATTTCAAGTGAGGATCAAATAATTATTTCCCCCATGTACATTATCTTCTAAGCTGCATGACGAGCTGATGCAAGATAAAGCTTTGAGCCCCACACAGGAGAGTCCACTGTAAAGAGTGGAGTTAAAGTGTGGATGTCCTTTCGGTTCACTCCACTCTAAAGAGTAATTGTTCAGCACCTTCAACAGTGTGAGGTCAAGATCCAAAACGTTTTCTTGGTGTAAATAAACGTCAGATTTATGAAGTGCAAAAAGAAGCATGTACAAGAACTGATCTTCAGGAACTCATCTGTTAGTCTTTGACTGTCATTTTGATCTAAATTAAAATTGCTAAATGAGAAAGATGAGCCTCATTGTGGACAATATAATTACAAGTACAGCTGCACTGTGAACTCTATGATTAGCGGCGTGGGCCACAGTCTGTGAGCTACAACATCCAAAATGTAATATTTCAAAATATAAAAAAATTACAATTCTGTGTAGGTATGACAATGATTAATGAAGAGCTGTCCAGGTTGGATTTTCAGGTACCTCTGAGGTTGTTATCATCCCACATAACATTTCTTTCCATCAACCACCAATATTCTTCTAAAATGACATACATACATTTTAACTGTACAGCCACATATTTGTAAAGCTTTTAGTGCCCTAATACAATTTTTTTAAACACACTGTTGAGTTTTTGATGAAAAGATATGCTGGTTTTCAAAAGATTCCCTCTCTCTCTTTTTTTGCTTATTTCACTACTTTTCCCTGAAGCACTTGACTCATTTGCCGATAAAGGCATTTATTCAACTGTTATGTACATGTTAGTCATAAACATGTGTTTTGGTATGATGTAATGATGCTGTGTGATTCATATTGGATACACAAGTGCTTTGAAAATGTGTGGTAAGTGGGTTGCACTTATACAGCTCTCACATCCAGGTGGCAGCACTGAGAGCAGTTGTCTTTCTCCGGGACACTGACTTGTCAGACAACTCTATCATAGTCCCCTCAAACTCCTAAGTTCCCAATATATGTATATCATTTTGCTGTGGATGGATGTAAAACGGATAGTGAGTGCATGTTTAATGTAGGTTATCTTGACCCAACTATGAGCTGCAAGAATCAGTCAGGATTTAATGTAGAAAGTGTGTGAAAAGAAAAGGAATAAGATGAACTTAACCTAAGTTTCACTGTTGTTTTTTTTCCCGGAAAGTACTTTGGTCAACCATGTTGTTTTTAAAGTGCTCTATAAGGTTGGATTGTTGTCTTTAAAGAGGAGAGTACTGTATGTTCCTGTTTGTGGCCCCATATAACTTCCATCGCCTTTGCACATCTGGCTACAGCATCTGTCACTTTCCACTAGTCGGAGTCTCTGAGGCCACCGAGGCCTCGGTCACACCCAATGACAGACAAATAGGGAGAGGATGACACAGATAAGGTTCTGCATCCATCAGTGAAACAAATTATAGGTTAAGTTTGTGTGATAGTGGAAAGAGACCGTTAGCAATGTAGTGTGATTCCACTGCATCAGTTACATGGTGTACTCACTCTTCTGTCATATCGGGTTCAGAAGATGTGGTCAGTGATTAATAATGCTTTGTCACTGGCATAAGATTCAGGTTGGAAATCCATCGCATTTTAGCTGTGTGTCCAGACAATGTGATCTTTGTGGTCCTCTGTCACAGCAACACCACATGAGGACACCTCAGCTGTCTGAGCAGCTGCTCCCGTTAACGCCATCTGCGAACTGCCTTCGCCCTGGGGCTCCAAACAGGAGTGTGAGAAGTGTCCCTGAAACACGCTCATAAGCATCCTACCTACACGGTGTTCCGCAATCTGGGGATTAATACTTCCTGTGTGACCCAGACCTCGGCCTGAGGTCAGGTTAGCCTGGTTTAGGAATTAATGACGGGGGAAATGGTGCTCCTACTCTAGTCTTGTCCTGACTGAAAATAATCCAGCCACGTTCAGTCAAGTTGTCCTGTGCACAGTCATCCAAAACCTGCTTGTTTTGGCCACATTTTCTATCTTAACGTTTAATCAAACCGGCAATAAAAAAAACCCCCAAAAACAATAAGCAAAATGGGACACTGAATCAGCACACACTCAGCCTTTTGTAATGTCTCTCTGTACAGTTTTATTTACATGATACTATTCTGTTGTAATGCTGGATAGCAAGATTATATGTAATACATAAATATCAACACAGTTTTGTTTTTTCTTTTTTGTACAAATTTGCATATAACTAAGAATCAGAAAGGAAAAACTCAAACGGATACATACAGTTAACTTTAAATGAAAAAACAAAACAAAAAACACATCCATACGGGGGAGAAACAAGTCACAAACATACATCGGTTTCAATGTGTCAGGCAGCCATGAAAACACACTGTCGCACAGGTATGTGCACGTGCACTCACACAAAAACACACACACACTTTTTTCCCCTCCCTTTTTTCCCCCCTTACAGTGCTCTATAGCAGAGACACAGAGACCAATAGCTGTTAGACAGATGAGAAGTTACATCTAATCTTGGTATCTATTATTTTTCATAAATCTAGCTCTGGCATGCTCCTGTAGTTCTGTAAACATGTGCTGATAAACTGGGTAGCTCTACAGTCAAAAGGGATAAGGAAGAGGTGAGGACAGAACACATGCACACAGCCCAACACACACACACTGTGCTCACACGAATGTTTTGTTAGCGCATTTAAAAAAAAGAAATCATGGTTCACATACCCTAACTCCATCAATGCACTGAATACATGTGCTAACATCAGTACAATGGAAGAGAAAAATAAGCTAATAAAACATAACAGATAATTGTCTTTCAGCAAATAAAACATCTGAAACCCTAAGTTGAATGATATTTGTGAAACACTAAACACAGATGAAGAGTGACTCATGCATTTATCCCATTCATTCATGCCCCTACAATATTGACGCCTACATTGACCCTACCAGACCCATGGGGGAAGGGTGCCATCCTTCCCCTCAGGCCACACGTCGGCTCACACACATACACACAAACACACACACACACAGTCCGGCAACAGTTGGTGGAACTCCTTCAGCGAGTAATTTGTGTGTCCCCGTCTAGCATGATACCTCCAAACAGCCTCAATCAAAACCCATCAAAGTGAAAGCAAGGTGTGCCGATTGGAGGGGTTAGGGGAATTCACCGACGCCGACTGTCACGATGATCAACTGCTCTGATGGGGTCGAAGCTGACGAAAAAAGTAAAAGGGAAGACAACGTAGCTTAACGCGGCAGCCGTGAGGTAGGTAAAGCTAGGAAAAGACATCGCAACAAATCCCCCCCTCCTCGTGCGAGGCAGGAGACGCTGACCGACTCCAGCGCCGACGGAGCACAGAGCGAGAAGTTCAAAGGTTGAGGGACACAACTTGTATGGACTGTTTCTGTGTAGTCTGAATGCTTTTGAGAGACCAGCCAGTGTCTTGACACGTGGCGGCGCGTGTTAAATGGCCGTCTACGGTTTGGCACAATAATGGCGCCTGGTATGGGTGAGAGGAGCACAGCTTATCCTGGACATGTAGCCTGGTCTGCTCTTAGTAAGACAATACATATTCTTAGAAAAAACAAAACAAAACGTCGGACTGAACGGCGGCAAAAAACGAGAAAAACAAAACAAAAAACCACACCACAGAAAACAGGATAAAAACTGAGTTAATCAAAAAAAAAAAAAAAGAGGGAGAAAAGTGATCATTCATGCATCTTCCTCAGACAGGATCTTTTACGTTTTTCTTTTTTTCCTCTCCATGATCTTCTTGAGGTTGTAATTTTGTAAATCAAGTCTGTTCCATTCTCATTTATGCTCATTTCAAAGGTTCGCACTCATACTCCAGTCTTTTGTCAATGGTGTTTCATTGTTGCTGCCACTGCTGCTCTGTCTCATCTATTATATTCTCTGGATCTTGTCAGCCACCACCACGGGGTTCTCTTTGCGGATCTTGGCGGCAGCCTCGGCCTTGTAATCATAGGGACAGTTGTGCTTGTCAGAGTACCGGTGGATGCCGCAGAACAGGTTGCCACAGCGACAGTCGAAACCTGGAGGCGCAAAAATCAAGGGTTAAAAGCTGGAATGGGAGCGTTTCACAAGTGCACTGACAGAAATTCATGCTGAACTGCGACCTGCTCACTCACCTGTGAGGCCCACTCTCTTGCGGCACATGAAGCACCTGTTCTTCTTAGGTTTGGGGGTGTCACTCTTACTTTCCTCACTGCTAGAAGAGGCTACAGGAGTAGGGCTAGAAGCAGCAGGCTGGCTTACAACTACGCAGAAAGAAAGACAACGGGAGGGAAAAAAAAAAAAAGTCATAAGTCACGGAAGCCTTTAATGTGTCATTATCCCTTTAATTCCCAGAGCAGCAAACAAGGCTGTTTGTCATACTTTTACAAGACAATGAAAGCCAGTGGCCTCTAAAATGTTGCATTGTTGTCCAAGATAATAGTAATTAGTATTTTCCTTATCTCTAAATTGCCCCTCTTGTTCTTGGCAGCAAAGAATACACTATTCTGAGCAAGCCTCTGGCAGGCAACGTTAAATCTGAGTGTCCTGAGAGTGGAGGTATTTTTAAACAGGTTTATTTTTAGACACCCTCTCTTTCTTGGAGGCTGTAAGTGAAAACCAACAGCGGAGCTTAAGGTATGCAGCGAAGCATCAAAAATAAAACTGAGGCTACAGAAAGAACTATGTAGCAGTGTTTGCCTCGAGAAGTGTGTTTTTAAGCTGTCAACTAGGTATGTGTAAAATGCCTGCAATGTTGCCAGCAACCAATAGGAATGAAAGCATGTTTTTACCAGGCTCTAGGGGTTCAGGTTTGTCCTCTCTGGAGATGCTCATCTCGGTCATTTGCTGAGTCACAGGAAGAGATCCTTGAATGGTTCTGCAGGTTTAACCAGCGGGGAGCGAGGTGAGTCAGTCATCACATTGCTCATTCAATTTCAAGAAAAGTAACCAGCAAACATCACGAGAGCTAATGGCAGCGGATACTGACCTAGACATGTCTGGTGAAGGGGCAGGGGAGGCATCAACCTTTGCTAGACTGGCTTCTAGTCTCTGGATGGCAGAAGCCTCTGAGGTAGGACTAGCAGTTGAGCCTGTATGATGACAATGATAATCAATTTAAAAATCCAAATAAATACAATCCAAGTGATGTGGGTTTGCATGCCAACAAGTGAGCTGAATAATAGAAACTGTTTTCAGCAGTTTCAGGCCTATCTAAAAATGTATTCAACGTCACTTCTCTTTTGGGACATATTCTCCCTTGTTCCTTGTTTCAAAGTACTGATAGTGTTTTGCATCGTGAAAAACTTTAATGTTGGATCACAGAAGTGCTTAAAGGAGCACCCCATCACCCTGACCCTGTCTGTTATTATCCACAGTGGCGTAAAAGCTTTAAATATACTGATTAAAGTTCATGTATTTGTTTACATAGAAACTGATGTAATCAGTCTGAGCTGCAGTAACTCTGAAGGAGAAGACAAATCAAATTTGTGTGTGCGGTCTTACCCATTGGGCCGAGGGGGCTCATGCGGTCGCTGCTCTGCTGCCGTGTCAGGTGTTCCTTGTAGCATACGGAGCACATACCATTGGTTCTTGGGTTGCCATAGAAACCGCAACCTGTGGCACAAAGCATGGGCACTGGACTCTGGTTCGTCTCTTGAGCCATTGCTGAAAGAACGAGGGAGACAGAGTGAGAATGCTTCTTAGACCGACGTGCAGTTTGCAACACCAACACCTCGATCTGACACGTGCATGGAAGAAAAAAAAAAGAAAAAAGAAGAACTGAAATGTTTTCCTGGACGCATTTCCACCCCTACCGCTCTTCCTGTTAGTCTGGTTCCAGAGAAACTGGTTGCAGTATCAACATAGCTGACTGATAACACGGCTGTCATTTTATGTAAATTCAGCTTTCTGTTTTGACTTGCCCTTTAGCCTGAATACAGTAATGAATGTGTCTCCGCAGGAATCCCACAGAACAAACAACACTCACTGTTCTCTGTTCAACACCTTTGGCAAAGGCTCGTATGTGCTCTGTTCTACAGCTTTGTTCACTGCAGTGTCACCTCTTCCCTCCTGCCGGCTCTTTTGGTGGTTCTGAGAAAAACTGAGAGGTATTCCCATTATCCCCCCCATCCTCTGCTTTTTGTAGGCTTTAGTGTCAGCTGTTCTTCTTCCTCATACCAAATTCAGGCCCTTACTTCCTCCATCTAATTAAAAACAAAAGCTCTGACTCACTCGCGGTATCATGATCGCAAAAGAACACACGAAACACTTCAGATTAAATAAGATTCTGTTTTTGCTAAATGGCACAAGGCTATAAGCGATAAACAAAGTAGGTCAGCTGTTTCACAAAGTGTTCCCCTCCCTACCCTTGGCTCTTGCCTTACAAGGCATTTCAAAACCTCCCTAGTCATTTCTCACCACGCATACGCCCAGAAAATGAGCATGCATGTGCGTAACTTGGCAAAACAAGTAGTCCTGTGACGTTTGCTACCCGTCTTTGTGCAACAGCGCAGGAAGTTGTGTAATGGGAGACGGTGACTTTGAGGTGATTGATCAAAAACAGCCACATGAAAGGACAGATACACATGGAAGGCCTGGATTAGATAGGAAAGAAGAGCTGTGCCTGCCAGCCCTGTCCAGGCCATTTTACAACTCAGCCGATCACCTATGATTCTTCTCCCCGCCCCCCACACACAGAAAATAAATAAAAATAAAATATAAAATCCACACACAGCAACGGGCTCATATTTCCTCTGTGGACAACCTTTGCCCTGTTCTGGTGCAACACAGCAGCTGCTTGCGTTGGTGTGAAGCTCGTCTATATTCTGGTCACGGACACAAACAGGGCAGGCGAGCTCAATGTTCTGGCAGTTGGTTTAGAACGTCCTGTCAGTCCACCCGAGGTGTCCTAAATAACAAGCACCATTAGCTATCAGACCCCCACCCAAACCTGTCTTCCTACCACTTCCTCGTTTCTCTTCACCTGGATGTTTTCACCAGTATGTCAATAAAGGGTCTCCTTGGAAAAGCCCACAAAGACCTTTTTTTCCCTTTCATTTGTGTCACGTGTCCAACTGCTGACTGCTGAAAAATACCAGACAGGGGGACTCAGCTAAAAGCTAGTAACTAATGCGTAGCTCAAAATGCTTTTCATTTCAACCCCCTTTATATGGATCATCAGTAACTTCCTTTTAAAGCTGACTGACTTATCAGTTTATAGTGTTGACTAGATGTAGACTGGACGATTTTAGCTCCACGTTACGCAGAAACACTTCAATAAAAGAAAAGGTATTGATTTAAATTGCGACTAAATCACATCTGACGATGCAAAAACATATTACAAAAGAGGCCCATAGCAGTTAACACATTAACTTTATGACACAAAGGAACAATGGGTCCAGGTGTTTGATAAACAGCAGGCATGGTAACCTAATATTTACCAAGACCTTATAAGCACAGCGATAAGGTAAAAAAGACATGGCCACGCTGAATACTTCAAAAGACTTGCATGTTTTTCGAAACAAAGGGGGATCTTCCAGAGATACATAAAGCATACTGAGGGTCATTACACATTCACCTCAATCAGTCCCTACCTATAACAAAACATGCACTTGTGAATTATTCCAGACAATCCTATGAAACACTACAGATGTGAAATTGTAAAATACCCCAAACAAAAGGAAGTCGGGGGCTTTCCAGCACAGAGCAGATCATCAGTCACGACCAATAAACCCAACTTCCTTTCACAAAGGATCCAAACCCTTCACTATAACCAAATGTGAAAACTGGTCTGACTAGAAACTATGCCATTTGATTTCTGCGGACAACAAAAACTACTGCGGAAACAAAAAACGTACGTGTGATAATCTCCAGCAAACAAAAGGGGGAAACTGTGCTTCTTTATCAGGCGCAAGCCAAGCTCATATTTCAGGCCCTGCTGGGCTTAAAAAGTCCTGAGTCACACTGAAGAGCAGGGGAGAGAAGAAAAAAACAAAACATTTGGGCTTGTCACATGCTGTAAAATTTGCTCTTTAAAAATGGACAGTGTTGAAAACAAACCACGAGAAGCCTACGGGAAGATAACGGCACTAATGTTTTCTGAAAACCCACTGTCTAGACAGTGAGGTATCGGCTCCCTTTGTTTCTTCTTTCTTCCTTTGTCTGCAATCTCCCTGCTTCCTGTTTAGACATCGTTTTGTAGTTCGCTTTAATCACTTTATTTGTACTGAAATGCGGTGTTCTGCGTGATTTAAGCGAAGCTATGCGGACAACCACGGTTATATAATCACACTAAGGCACTTAGAAAGAGACTTGGTGATGCCACATAGTTCTACACATCGAGCAAAGCTCGTCTGAGCCAAAGCTGAAACTACTTCCTCCATCGGCCGAAGCCGTGCGAGAACTTATATTCAAGAAAATGTTCTGTAGCAATTTCGAAAGCAACTCTCTCGCCCTGCTTGCCTATTCAGCTTATGAATTTTCTATTTCTAGACAGGAATTAGCTGGCTTTGGTGCCCCATCCCCCAGCTCTCGGGACAAACAGAAAAATAGGCACAGCAACCAACTAGCTCGCTCCCTCCCTTGTTATTTTCACCTCCTTGAAAGAGACGGAATCACGTTCGAGGGCTTTTGACATTTCTACTCAGGAGGAGGAGATGGTGGTGATGGCAACTTTAACAAGCTAAAGAAATGGGGGGTGGAAAAAGCTTGTTTATCACACTCAGCCATCACGCAACGCACCGCCTGACCTTTCAATCCACCGTTAAAGGTCGCCATCACCGACCGCCACCTCTGCAAACACCCATCGTTTGGCTGATTACCTCGATAAGCCGAGCTCACTTCCAAAATCATCCATATTCAGAAAAAAATCCCAAAAAACAATAATCCAAGATCATCACCTGCTAAAAATCGATGAAGTTTCTCGCGAGACGACGGGGAAAAGTGGCCGTTAGTGTGGGCAGCTGGAAAATGTCGATTGATTTCAGGTCCCGGTGAGGTCCTTTTCTCTTTCTTGCTTCGGTTATGTGCCGTCGTCCTCGGTGCCAGACAGGTTTCGAGGGGTTTTAAGTCTCCCTTCCTCGGCCTCCTACCTTCCTTCCTCTCTCTCTTCCTCTCCCGTTCCTTCTGTATGGATGTTTGTTTCCCTCTTTAGTCAGAGGAGTGGCGGTGATGTCACGGGTAAAACAACGTGTCCCCATTGGCTACCCGCGGAGCCCTCGAGCTCTGTGTACAGCTCTGCCAGAAAGGGAGGGCGCTGAAACTCAGTCTGCGCTTGCGCCACTTCGTGATTGCGTTATTACACATCTATTCGTCATCCTCCTACAAGGACGACCATATTGAGTAATCCACCTAAATGATAGGATGAATGAATAATGGTGCTGACAATGAGTGAATTAAAACAAGAAGAATGCAGGTCCGTGATCCGTGATGCCTCTTTGTAGAAGATTCTACACACTTATCTGTGAGATGGCACTATTAATGTGACAGCCTCGCCCCTCCTGCTACTCACATGGCCTATGATTATTTCTGTCAGAAGAACAAAGCAAGTACAGGTTGTAAACATGTTTTCCAGGAGACAAGCCAAGCAGACTCATTTCACAACATTTGGCTACAAACTGCTAATGTCCCAGTTACTGATACTAAATAGTGACCTTGACATTATCAATACTGTTAGGCCCAGTGAGGGCCCAGTCAGTCGTTAGGCCCTGATTTTAACCCTATTTCAAATCAAAACTGCTAACATCAAACAGCTCTTACAAATTGTGGATGAAGTTAAAAATGTTCAGACATTGTAACTATTTTGTCGAGTCAAACTAGTCTTCACAAAGATAGCTGTATAAGAGAAAAACACCCGAGCACCTGTGTTGATGTTGGGGAAGTTTTCAAGAAAAACACGTGAGCAGCACCATAAGATTGGAATTTTTTTAAAGGTGTACATCTGTTAGAATAATGCCTTGAGGAAATAATAAAGGCTGGCGCTAGTTACTGGACTGTGACCACTGAAAGAGCTTAGTGGGATTTCTGGGAATTTATAAAAGAAACTGAAAAGAGATTTTAGTCACAAAACATTACTCAAAGTGAGCTTTTAGAACAGCAAAATATCTTATTCTGCACAAATACAAGTAGTAGTCCAAATTGTGCCATTATGGGTAAGGCTATATTACCAAAGTAGCTGTGTTAAATATTCCAGTTAAATTAATTTACTAAAAGTAGAAAACATCTTATAAATTATTTTTGGTGGCTTGTCAAATGTCAAATTGGCAGCAAAGGCACTTTGGCCCTCAGTATTTCTAAAATAAAGTCTTTCCTTGTGGTAAAAAATGTTTATAGTGAAACAAAATAGTTGACACAAAGTTTGAGGGGTCGCTTTAATTGACTTAACCCATTGTTTTTACATCAACAGCCACCAGAGCATTACATCCACTGGATTTGTTTTTATGATACAAAATACACCTGTACTCTCCACTCACTTGCAAATGCGTCATACTACATAATTAAGTACATACATAGGGTACTGTGCCTTAAGGTCTAACAAGTCTCTACATATCCCCTCCCACCTTGTCAGCATAACATCACACAAATCCCCAGGCACTACAGGTCAGAGCTGAAAAAAACAAAAAAGTGTTGAAGTCGGGTGGTGTGAGCTTGTGTTTGGGGCGGGGGGATGTTGTCATCTCTCTGTGTGTCGATTCGTGGAAATCTAGAAGCTTACAGAAGTCTGGAAATCACTGAGATTTCTCAGTGTGTTTGATCCGGTTCAAACTAGCTTTATATGGAAACTGAAAAATGGTGGTAGCTAAGTGAAAGCAAAAGTGACTGCTGATCTTCAGCTGACTTTTTCAAGGGGAAGTCCTTCTCTTTCCTTCTTATACACACACACACACACACACACACACACACACACACACACACACACACACACACACACACACACACACACACACACACACACATGCGGAAACATTGCTGCTAAAACTGGTTTCATCATACACAGATGAACAGAGGACAGCTTGTGGTCTGACCTACTTGTCTTTTATTAGCTTCCTGTGCTGTGTCCATTTGGACAGGTTTACTTGATTGCATATTTACTCGTTATTTTTATGGTATATTTTAAGAGTAAAGTATTTTAAAAGAAGAAAGGTAAAAATCATGAAACGACTGAAATGCTTTGTGTTTGACTGGGTGATTTGGAGAGTTAATAAAGCAACTGATCTCCAATAAGCAACATAACTAAAGGAACATAGTGCATGCATGCCAACAAACCCTAAGGAAGACTCCTTACATTATCATAAAACAGCGTGTTTTTTGTACAAGTTAATATCACGTGGCATCACAGTTTTATTATCTTTTGAGATTTTCAGAAAGACAAGCTTTGATGACCATGACTTCTTTTATATAGCCTTTATAACCCGGTCTTTCTTCTCTAATCAAACCTCAGTAAAAAGATTCCAGTTATAGTTTAACTCACAGCTCACATATTACAACACAGGCTCAAAACAGTGCTTGTGGCAACCCACCACGCTGCAGTTTCATGCTAATGGTCTTCTGTGTGTACATACATGCGTGTAGCACTATCCCTCTGTTGACATTAGCCCGAAAGCTTTTCATATGTGAATGAAGAAGGGTGGATGGAAGACTGGGATTACACTGAGGTCTTTGTGCGCATGTGTTGTGTTAATACACAGCCCTGCAGGGAGCAGACGAGAAGGAGCATGTGTTGAAACGTATATCTGTTCAGTATGTGAAGGTTCACGGTTTTCAGTGAGAGGAGGGGGCAGCCGAGGAGAGAGTGGGAGGTGTTGAGTATCGTTACCCATCCCCCTCGCTGTCATAGCTAGGCTTTTGTATCTGTTTGTTGAAGCAGTATGTCCCTTTTTTATACATTAACATGTCATACACGTGAGGGGCTGAGTAACAATGCTGCCGTGGCAACAGATGCCTACAATTTCTTTTGTTTTCTTTTTTTGTGTGTTTTCTTGTGCGTGTGTGTGTTTGTGTAAGGGTGTGAGGATTACTTATGTGAATCTGGAGCAGTCTGTCTGTAGTTACTAGGCAGATATTGGTCGACCCAACACAAACACACACACACACACATGCATGTGCAAACACACACAGAGGCACAGCTTGCCTGTGTCTGGCGTCGGTGTGGTGAGACACTGTCGATAAAGGGGCTAGTGGTGGAGATGGCAGCTTATCCATTTACATAAGCTGTGTGTGGGGCTTGATAAGCTCTGACTAAAACCATCGGTTCTAAACTTGATCTCCCTACCCTGCTCTGTCTACGCTCGGCTTCATGCGCAGCCCCCATAAAGAAGGGGGTGGTACTGTTTGTGTGTAGATGTTTGTGTGGTCTACAGTAAAAAAAAAGAGAAGCATTTTTCATGAACAGACTGTGTCTATCTGATGTGGTGGGAGATCAGGGAGAGATTTGCTGAAAATTCCTGTTGCTGAAAATGTTCAGGAAACATTCAGTGAAGCACTTTGGAATTAGAGAATGCTTCCAAGAGATAGGCAGACAGAAAATTAAAGAGACTCAAACCATTAAAGGGGAAGAATGAGCAGCACAACAGGCTCAAATTAAGGACCACTGAGTCTGTTGCTTGTTCTGGTACTGCACACCTCCCCTGAACCTCTCGTGAATGTGCTTCTTGTTATTTGTGAGCAGGGAGGAGTTCCCCAAAAGTTTCCCACCACAGTCTCTATCTAAAGTCCCTCCTCCTCCTTCTTTCCTCTTCACACACAGGCCTCACTGTACACGGGTATCTGGGTAATTGTTGGATTAATATGGAGTGTGTGTATAGACTTGTGCACACATGGTTCATGTAAAAGGCCAATGAAGAGGTGATGCATATGCATTTAAAAAAAAAATCAGTTTCCATTTACAGGCTCTGTGTGGGTTTGCCCTTCACAGCTGATATAAGACACTCTATGTATGACCTGACCACATGTCTGCATGTGGTGATCAAATGTGAACCCCTGCATGTGTGCGTGTGTGTGTGTTGGTGTGCAGCAGATGTCCTGTGGCCCAGACTGGCTGGTCTTTGTTGCTGCTCCCTCGTGCAGACGGGCCTAGCCACGTGCTCCTCTGACTGCAAGGGCAAGCCACGCCTCCACCACTGTAATCTGTCAATTGCAGCAGCCAAGTCCCACCCATAAAAACACCCACAGTCTGCCAAGGCCTGCTTGCCTGCTCGATGACGCTGCTTTACTCACGCATACTTACCATGCTCTCTGTTTGTCTCTCGCTCACACCTACACACATCTGTTGCTGGCCCGTGAACATGGTGTGCAAATTTGAGCAGCTCACTTTCTCTTCATCCATGTAAACCGTTTATTTTCCCCTTTCCCCCTCTGCCTGCTTTTGATATATTGCAGTGTGAAGGTATTTTTTTAAGCATTTATTTCCGTGTTGGAGAAATAGTCAAATCCCCTCCTCAGAAACACCCAGAAACAGGAAGAAGGAATTTCTTGAGGGAAAAAAACACAAGACAGGGAAACATCTAGATGGGCAAGTAGTAAAGACTTGCTATTAATCCTGGCAAAATGCCAACAGCAACACTTAAAGACGCCTGTTTTTCTACAGTCTGTACTATTGATAAATGGGTCTAATCTTTGCTCAGGTGCAGTCACTCATCCCAGATAGTCTTTGGGGTAAATAATCTATTGAAAGTGCACATCAAACATTGTGCCTTAGACATCCTTATATGCCAGGTCTCTGTTTACAATGATTACGTCATTTTTAGTCCCCCCTGGCAAATGTCTATAGTCTGAGTCACACCTGGATTAGCTTGCACTGTCCTCTCAGCTCTCTTCTTTCTCCCTGACAAAAACAGCCAAGTTTTACCCTTAGGGCCAAAACCTCCTGCTGCTTTACATTTAGTGTCAACAGTCGTGCAACTCAGGCAAAATAAATGCTATACAAAGTTCACTGGTAGATTGTTGTTATCAGGGAAACACAGGCAGGCTTTCTGCAGAAAGTGTTTACGAATTTGTGTTTATTACCCAGTACAGCTGGAAAAGAACTGGTTTTGGTGATGCTTCTCTAAAATAGACCCCCCCCCCCCCCCCACACACACACACGCACAAACACAAAAACTCCACATATTTATTTTGGCATAGTACAGTACAGTGCCTGTAACCCT